ATTAAATCTTTATATGACTTGAAACAAACATAAAAACAATGGCATGAGAAATTTGATCAAGTTCTTGTCAGTAATAGATTTTTTGCTGTTGGAGTTGATAAATGTATGTACACAAAAACTGTTAATAGTGAATGCATGATTATTAGCGTATATGTTGATGATATGCTTATTTTTTGTGCATGCATTAATGTGGTCAATAAAACAAAATGTTTCTTGGCTTTTGAATTTGATATGAAAGTTCTAGGAAAAGCCAATATTATTTTGGATATTAAAATCATAAGATGTGATAATGACTTAATGCTATCATAAGAACATTATGTTGAGAGGCTACTTAAAAAGTTTGGATATTTTAATGTCACACTCGTAAGTACCCCCTATGATAGTAATATCCAAATAAAGAAAAATAAAGGTGATAGTGTAGCTTAGTGGAGTATACATATATTATTGGGAGTCTGATGTATTTGAGGAATTACAATCAATTAGATGTAGCTTATGCTATGTGTAAACTGAGATATAAACAAAATCCCAATCGAGATCTTTGAGTGATAAAATTTTTGAAAAGTACCATAAACTATGATATTTTATATAATGGATTCCCGTTGTATTAGAAGCATACAATGATGCTAACTGGATCTCCGATTCAAAAGAGACAAAATCCACAAGTGGTTATGTATTCACTCTTGCTGGGTTTGCAATAACTTAGAAATCAATCAAACAAACAGTAGTTGCTAAATCTAAAATGGAGTTAGAATTTGTGGCTTTAGAGTTGGTTGGTAATGAGGCTAAGTGGTTGAGAAACCTCTTAACAGATATTCCTTTAGGAATGAAACCAACACTTTCTGTGTCTATGCATTGTGATTGCCAAGCAGCAATAGCTATAACAAAGAATAAAACTTTCAATGGTAAGAATAGACATATTCGTTTGAGATATGAAATAGTAAAGCAACTGCTTAGAGATGGAATTATATCCATTAATTATGTGAAGTCAGAGCTGAATTTGGTCTATCCTCTGACTAAACCCTAGAAAAAAAATTAATTAATTATACATCAAGGGGAATGGGACTTAAGCCAATTGAGGAAATCAACAAATAATGGTAACCCAACCTATGTGATTAGAGATATAATGAATTAGGTTTATATGGGTAATAACAAGGTATTTGTTGATAAATTAATGCACTATTAGAATTATTGTCCCTCATATGATGTGTGAATAGTGCAAAACTTCAATGTAAGAGAGGTTGAGTTAAACTCTTAATAAATTCCATACCCCTTATGGGTAGTTTATTAAACTATAGTATACACTTGATGAAATAACCTATATAATAATGAGGTGGGGCCGTTCTTATGAGAATTGTGGTAAATTCTCTAGAGCACTTATAAATAACTAAGCATGCACATGGCCTATTCATGCAAACTCACGTTGAACAGCAGAAATTGTGAGGGTGTTATGTTATTGATAAAAACAATATTTCACATAAAGGCTTTTTGGTTCATATAAGTTATAAACTTCACTAAAATTTTGTGATTTATGTTTCATTTTCTCTAGGGTTGGTTCATAGGTTAAAAAACACTAATCAAGATGCATTACACTCAAATGAAATTTGACCTAACAAAAACTTCATATAAAACCTTATGAAATATGTGGAGGATTGTTGAAAAATAGTGTATTTCATAAGTTCAAACATCCCATATTGCCAATGTACAAAAGAGGTGAGTGCTTTATATATGAAAGCCCATTATGGGTTTATTGCAAGTAAGGAAAAAAGAGTGGGCTCGTGCACACACGAAATTGGGCTAGGCCTTGAGACAATGTAGATCCCCCCCCCCCCCCCCCCCCCCCCCCGCCTCTACACGTGAGATAAGTCCAAGTGAACTTTTTATACCTTGGCTTAATTACTTTTCTTTCTCCTCAACCTATAGTAATTGAAATAGTGCGAATGACTGAGAAATTCTTATACCTTGGCTTAATTACTTTTCTTTCTCCTCAGCCTGTAATAGTTGAAATAGTATTAATGACTAAGTCTTTTAATTTCATGAGTCTGTTAATTGATATAGTCTTAATGACTGAGTCTTTTAACCTTATCTGACTTAGTCTTATTTCCTGAGTCTATTACCTAATAGTTCTTAAACGTTGGAATATTTCCTGAGTCAATTGCTTAATATTTCTTAAATGTTATCTTACTCAGATATTTGTTAAACTTTATTTGACTTAGCATCTTGATTTTCTCTAATTTTCTGCTAAATGTTATTTGACTCAGCATCTTGATTTCCTTTTTTTTTCTTCTAAGCCTATAGTAATTGAAATAGTCTTAATGACTGAGTCTTTTAATTTCCTGAGTTTGTTGCCTAATATAGTCTTAATGACTGAGTCTTTTAACCTTATCTGACTTAGCCTTATTTCTTGAGTCTATTACCTAATATTTCTTACACGTTATCTTACTCAGATATTTGCTCAACGTTATTTGACTTAACATCTTGATTTCCTCTGATTTTATGCTAAACATATTTAACTCAACATCTTGATTTCTTTTGATTTTTTGTTGATTTTATGCTGATATTCTATAATGTTAACTCTCTGCTCTGTCAATAAATAAAGCCTACCTACCTTAGTCACAACCACACCAATCGTCTCATCTCCTCTGAAGATTCCTCTAAAGCTTCTTTGCATACTCTTTCTCCATTTTCCTTTCTTTTCCTGAAAGGTTTCATTTTTTCAAAGAAATCTTTCTGTTGTTCTTGCTATCTCTTACTAGTTTGTGCAAACTATAAAAAATGGTATGTTGAATCCTGGAAGATAATGCTACTGTCTTTCTGCATCGAGTCTTATACTTCGAAAGGGCGAAAATTATCTTTAAGAACAATGATACCATGTTTCAAACATTTTATTATCTTTACTTCCTTTATTATATTTTCATTTGTTTCCTAGAAATTTTTCTAACAAAGTGTTATGCTCTTGAGAAACAAAAAATATGTTAGCTTTATGTAAGATCCAAGTTACGAACTTAGCTTTCCCAATGTTATTTCATGCTTGGATTGGATCCAACTCTTTTATATATATTTTGCGATGGTATTCCTAATAGTATATGTAAATATGGTTATCTATATTATTAGAAGAACACCCACACTATGTTACGAGAATTGAAACTCGAGAGTTACATATCGATTAAACTCTAATAAAATTGCATCAAACTATTGATAGGTTCATTTTCAATTTTATTCTCGCTCATTTTCAATTTTATTCTCATTAAAAAAGAAATATATTATTCTTATTTTTTTTCTTATCTAAATCATGAATCGGATGAAAACAGAAATCAAGGTTCAATTCAAAATAGTCATATAATTGAGACTTATAACAGATATCACAGATATAAGACTTTCTTAATCTTGAGTATTATTCAAAGGTATTATCATATATTTCTTTGTATAAATTATAAAATTATAAAAAGTATAAAACATATTTGTTGGAAGATGAGAATATTTTGTATTACGTCAAGATGTATAATTCAAAGAGAAACCTAAATTTTATATATATATAAAGCTAATGCTAATTTTATTCATAGTCTAACTCTAACTAACTAATTAACTAACAGTATTATAGTATAATTCTAATAACATATTATAGTCTAACTAGATAATAATATTGTATAATAACTTTAATTAAATAGTTTGTATAATTATCTTAACAATATTTTACAGAACCCTAAAAAATGCATATCATGCATGTAGTTTTCATGCTCAAGTTTCTTTTAACATCTAAATTTATCACCTAAAGCACTCCAAGTGCAACAACAACACAAAGAACAAAAGCAACCCAATCATTAATATAAATAAAACTTGTTATTTGACAATAACAACCAACTGAACCATAGGAAAACTAAAACAGGAAAAACAATTATTACGAAAAAAAATTAGAGAAACTTAATATTTAATGTTAACAAAATAAAAAAGGAATAGAGAGAGAGTTAATATTTAATGTTAACATTTAGAGAATGGAATTAGATGGAAACCTGTTTCCACAAATCATAATCAAAATAGGTACCTTAAACAAAAGTGAGATATGAAATATTAACTACATAATAAAACGAAATGTTAAATATGCACTCAATAAGTAAAAGAGAAAGAAAGGGTATTGGTACGGGGTTGTGGTTTTCTCAAAATTTTTAAAATTGTTTATATATTCTGTTAATGATTTTTTTAAAAATAATTTTTTAAATAATTAATATAAATAAAAATAATAATAACATGATCCCACATATCTCACCCAACTTTAATTTTTTTTTTTTCTTATCTCAATTTATATTAACAAATAAAGCAAAAGCTCTGAACCAACAAACATAACGAAATCTTAAATGTGCACTCAATAAGTAAAAGAGAAAGACTGCCAAAATATCTACATGTCTCAAGGTGCTTTTCTATTCATATGTAACAAATAGAGGGAAGGACAGTACCTGCTCTTCCATGACAAATCCTTTGCATTCGATATGGGTATCCCTTGCTCTAGAAGTCCATCCTTTATATTCGAGGTAAGAATCCCTTCTTCTATAAGAGTCATACTCATCTCCAAACAATCAAATCTCTTCCTTTATAAGTTATATCCCATATTTAATCCCAAAGGCAACATATACACAGATTCAAGAAAGGCATCTAACCAGAAGCTTGTGTATTAATTTAGGAACTAAAAAGCAATGTAGTACCCTTACGTACTACAAATCCAAAAAAGAGTGGAGAACCTTAAAACCAAGAGGGGAAAGTGGTGGTTCAAATGTTTTGAGTGATGCAATGGAGATGCATGTGGTTCTATTTTATTGTAGAATGAATGAATTATTATGTAAAATAGGTTGAGTATACAGAATATTAGTTAATAATCCTCTCCAAGAACAAATATTTGCCAATAGTATTCTCAACTATTCTGGCTAGTCTAGTAAGTACACCACAAGAACATTTTAGTGTCAGCTGGAACCAAATAAAAGCCTATTTTGTGAGCATTAAGACAAGACAAGACAAATTAAATCAGCTCAAAAAGCTATCACAGATGGAAGGAAAATCAATTTAGCTCGTTTACAAAAATTGAGGAATACAATACACAACATGCTTTGCCTTTGATCCCAAAACCCCCCACCGTCCCCGTTTCAAATAACACTATAAGCGGGACTCCATAGAGGGGAAGCTGCATTTTGAATTCTCCCACAAACCTTCTTCCACAAGCAGTTATGTCCCAAAAATATGTCTCTGAACAGGTGGAGCATCAAAAGTTTTAACCACTTCCATCCAGGGTTTGTCTACGATCAAGATGGAATGTTTTGAAAGGTGTCCAATAAATAACACAGGGTCCCGGAAAACAATTAAATCAAAATTACTCTTTCTACTAGTATGTTTAGACTCTGTTTGACTCTCTCTCAACCAATGTTTCCATTTCATATTTGTGAGAGAACCTTGAAACTTCAACAAGGCTCCATTTACCAACTCACTTTCCTCATCTTGATCCACTGGCTTCCCAAAGTCAATTGAACACATTGCCCTGCACCATAAAGATACTTATTTATTTAACTATGACAAATGCAATCCATAAAATGCTTCATGAGAAATAAATTAAGCACCACGGCAATGGAATTTTTCCAGGGTACACAAATTAATTATTCCATGCCACACAATTGACCAAGAAGAATATTTCTCCATGTCTCCCTGTTCTCAAAATTTTAAAATTTTTAACTTATGCAGGAAGTCTATTCCAGCTTTTCCACGAATCTACAAATGAAAGGTCTTCAAAAAATACTACCATGTAGTAACAAATATTTAATGAAATTTTTCTATTTTCCCACTTTACCTCTCAATAATTCATACAATTATAGGAAGAATTATATTTTTTTCATATTCATCTTTTTTATTTGGTTCCACTTTTTTCTATTGGTTTAATTTATCGTACTATTTATTATTGATACAAAATTATTTTATCCCATTTCTTTCTTTCATTCTAACTCTTATGATTTGATTAATAAATTTAAGTGTTTTATTTTTATTTATTTAAAATAAATTAAAATACTATCAAATAATTTTTTGCATCTTATAGCACTTCTGCATTAAGTTGTCAAACACTATTTTGGCTTTTCCTTACAGAACTTTTTAAAAAACTGTACTCGAACAACACATTTTACAAAAGCTCCAAACAAAGCCAAACAGACTAGAAGCAATAAAAAACTTAGTGCCCCAAAAGTTAGGTAGGATGTATGCTTGTCAGTTTTAAGATAACATATTAGCCAAATGATAGCACATTAATCATGCAAGGTGAAAAGATAATGGAAGAAACCAGTATGCCACCAGTTTCTTTAAGCTGCTAGGAGCAAAAACATTGCTGGGAACTCAGGATAAAACATAAAAAGAAAACAAAGCACCAAGATACATCTTTTTAATATGATATCCTTGTGGTGTGCATCACACTAATCACTATTATTAAGATAAGATATGGCTACAATGAATATAGAAGTATACATATGCATGACAAAAGTAATGTTAAACTGTCGCAGCAAGGTAAAACAAACAGGATAAGAACAGCACCTGGTACTATAAACAACAAGCGATGACGATTTTGATGGATGGGAGGAGGATGTGGGGCAGAAAGATAACCCAATAACCTCCCCAGGAAATTCTTGGTATCTTTGGGGAAGAGTAAATGTATGCTGCATTGACCATTCTCCCAATTGCCTAGCTTCGACATCAAATATATAGAACTGGTTTGAAGATGTTGTGATAATAAGCACATTGTTGTCCTGAGGAGGAAAGCCAGCAGCTGTAACAGAGGCACCATCCAATCTTGATATAAACCAGTGTTGCCTGCTCCAAAAATCAAAGAAACACAAAGTAATGATTGACCATTCTCCCAATAACCTCTCCCATCTCACATACACACTCATGTATTAATTTTAGTTAGAAATTAGAAATTACACTGTCAACTAGACAGCTTTCTAGTATTAAATATTGTCCCAAATGTATTTCTTACCTCTGTATCTCAAGATTGAATATGTATATATCTCCAAAGCAGTTGATAGCAGCTAACCACTGGCCATCACAACTCGTGAACAATTTTGTTATGGGAGGCTCACTAGGTGGTCCTTCCTTCTCATGCTCCTCACGACAAGGTATGAAGGTATGCAGCAGTTTTAAGCTCTCCAAATCCACAACCTGTAGCACCACAAAGAGTAAGTAAGTAACAACATTCACACATAAGTTAATTATATCTAGAAGGTACGCAGCACTTTCCAAGCTGGAATAGGTAACACGATGCTTCTTGAGGTTAATTAACAACGGTCGCACATAAGTTAATCATATGTAGAAGGTAACTAGCACTTTCAAGCTGGAATAGGGAACACAATGTGCCAGAGGTTAAGACATGAAAGTTTTCCAGTTTGAGGTACAAAATCTAGAGTTTGAGCTAGCCATCATAAAAGAGGTGAAAGACCTCATAAACCTACAAGTTATTGCAGAGGATGGAAATACTCACTCCACCCACCTAAAGCTAGATATATCATGAAAAATGTAATTTCGAGCAAACATTCACAAGTATAGAAACTACAAGAAGGTTAATACAAGAAAGCCAAGAGCAAAGACTTACATAGATCCTCCTATCATGGCCTGCTATAAGCAATCGTAACTCATCAGAGGTAAAAATCATAGAATGTGCGGATGGAAGTTTCTGAGGAAGTTGCCTTTTAGTGATGGTCCACGTACTTTGGCCATCTTGCCTACTTAGTGCAAATAGGCTGGGTCTGATGTGGTCAGAATAACCAAAAAGGTCCCCTGAGTTAGACATTGCACTGCAAATGATCTTTCGGCATGCCTTACTCTTAACCCGAGCAACTAAATTAGTGGTAACGAGACCATCATAGGGGCCAGAACCCACATCAGGAACACAAACACAAAGAATATCTAACCAATAAGAAGCCTGGACCAGGAGGAAAGAAGCTTGATTGAAACTTGTATTAATGACCAGTTGTACTGGAACTCTCTGAGGTGCAGGACAAACATCATGTGGCGAGAACTTAGTAAACTCCTTAGCAGAGTAGGCAAAGAGCTTTGCATCATCACCAGCAGAGACAAGCATGGGAACTCCAAAATGAGCCCATTTACTGTAACTAAAATCAAGGGGCTTCTTCTCCCGACGTCGAATTCTTTTTACCTTTTTCCCATTTTCATCTTGCACGTCTTTTGCCTCGTCTAATAAAGATGCTAGAAATTAGAAAGAAAAAAGTTAAGATCAAGAAGTATAAGTGCACAAATTGCTTAGCTAAAAAGGTCAAAATCCACCTTTAAATTTTAACGAAATGAATAAAATAATAAATCGGCATAGAATCAACAAACATGAACAGACCTTCAGAACTGATAGGCACTGCCATTGTCAAGGCTCTGACATCGTGGGTATGAGCTCTTACATAACCAACATATACCCATTTCTTCATTTCAGAAGAAGATTTGTCATTACCAGATGTCTCATTAGAAAGCTTATAAAGAATAACCTACAAAAAGTGGCAGCACAGTAGACATTAGCAACAGAGCAGTAGATTATATTTAAAACAAAGCACACAATTTCAGTCGCATTGTAGTGAAAAAAATGCACCTACAATTCTCTTTCCTTTGTTTATTTTAATATTTTGGCCTTTCTTAGATCTAAAGTGTGAAGCAGCACCCCTCTGCTATCCATACCTGTCCGTCAGACCCAGCAGAGAACACCCTGTTCTGACTTGGAGCTGCTGCCAAGGCATTTACATCACCTTTATGATTACAATGTGCCTGGAGAAGAGTTCCATTATTACCATTCCAAAACTGAACAGAGCCAGTGCTGTCTGCACTAACAACAGTTCCACACCTGAATTTAAAAATAACTCAATCAGCAAAAATAAGCACATTAACCATTGACAACACAACAACGATTGACATTTCACCATATTAGGCATCTAGGCGTGCATGCATGCATGCATGCATGCACAGGCATCTCTCTGTCGACATAGAAGATTCCACATGTACCTTAAAGAAAGTAATGACCATATGCAAAGCTCAGGCCCACTGCCCAAACCTCCAAGAGAAACTGTACTTCTGAAAATTTCATGACCCAAATCAGCATTCCAGCATCTTATCAACCTGCATGATGGTTTAGTGCAGATGTTACTAGACTATACAAGACTAAATGGGCAAAAAGAAGTGCAAATGCTCTGTAAAGCATGCACTATCAGCTCATAGAAGTTCAGTCATGCATCACCATTTTTGATTTCAGAGAGACTAAAATGTATCATATGGTATACGCTTAGATGACAAACTTACCCATCACTACTCCCTGAATATATCCTACTTGAGTCGTGGCTCCATGCCACACTTAGAACGCGTCCTGCAAATAATATTTGCACCAAGAAGCTCTAAGTATAAGTAAAAGCAATAACCAGAAAAAAATTGACACTGAGGTGAAGATATCTCACCACTGACCCGAGGCAATGATTTATGGTAGATTAACTTATCCGAATCAGAAATTGCGTATATCCGCACAGCTCCATCATCACAGGCAATTGCTACAGGTCTGTACTCCATAACTAGTTTCTTATGAACTTGTTCCGAGTCTGAAACATCTTCACTGTCACTGCTTTCATCATCATCACTATCATTATATTCATATTTATCATTTAAATATCCATTTCCAAAATGCTGAGACCTAGACTCTTTAAGAGCTGGCAGTCTATTTACAGGTGCCACAGCCATCTGCCAGATTGAAACCCCAACTGACTCTAGCACAATCTGCTTAACACATTAAAAAAATGAATAAAAGATGACTTCTCTTCAAAGCTTCTTCTACGCTAGAAAGAAGTTAAAGCTAAAGAAAGAAATGCATTCAAAGAGATTATATCAACAGAATTTATGCAACAATATATTACTCTCACTGGATCATAGAATATCTAAAAAATTGACCAACATAAACAATTAGGCCTACACTAAATCCTCTGGACGAAAATTATGAGTATTCTCATTATTCAATAAAACCATAAGGAATCCATAAAAAATTATGAGTATCCATTGAAGTTGAGGAGGTTGGAATCATTGACTAAAGCCTTGTTGGCTTACACCACTAGGTTAATAAGGCAGGGAGTGCCATTAATGGAAAAAGGGACGAAAAAAGAATGAAAAATCACCTTCTGCTTCAAATCAAAAAGATCCCATTCTGAGACTGAGCCATCGATACTCGAGGAGAACAACCTGCCAGAAGACAGACCTTTTGAACCAACGCAACACCACACAAGCGAAGAAACTCGACGAGTAGAATCCCCATGAATAGTCTACACAGGGTCACCAACAAATTAAGCTAAAAAAAAAAAGGCTAGACTGTGTTCAATATATAACAATAACAATTATATAAGAAAGCAGAAAGCTCTGGGTACCAGTTGATGGTGCCATCCAACGGAGCCAGGAGACACAAGCCAAATCTCGAGGGAGCCGTCCTCACGAGCGGCCGCAACCTGGGAGTCGTCTCGCTGGTAGCAAGGGCGAACCACTGGAGAGGGCTTCCAGTCGATTGAGCTGGTTCGGTAAGGTTTGAGGAGCATTGGGGCGGGTATAGAGTAAAGAAACTACGATCTTTGGAGGCCAATTTGACGGTTGAAAGCAGTATATAACTCGGAGATGTGCACCCGACAAAAAGAGGCGCAAAGCAGAGTAAGGCGACGCGGTGACCTTATTGATCCTTAGGTTTTTGAGGGTTTAAGCGCACCCAAACATTAATATAGCTGAACCGCTGAACCCACACTAATCTCGGTTCGGTTGTTCTTCGACGGCGGTTCAAACCGCTGTCACCGCTTTAAATCCCACAGCATTCAAACAATACAAAATCAAAGTAATATAATATTCCATCAAGAACCAAAAAAAAAAAATATCTTAAACCTTTGAAATCCTATTTTTACTATGTAAAATCTACTTGAAATTGATTATTGATATTCACTAATTATCTAAAACCATTTATTTGGTAGAAATTTAATTAGAATCTAAAATTTCACTCGATCTAGCTTAGAGATGAAAACGAGTAGGATATTTGTTATTTTTTACATTCCTAAACTCCAAACTGTTTGAATATCAAGTATCTTAACCTTATTAAAAATTGACTAAAATTACAAAATGCTATCCAAAGCTAAATCCTATTAATGTTTGAATACCCATTTAATAACCCAAATCCGTTAAATACCAGATTATACAAGTTAAATTTTTTACATATGAATACTTGAAAAATAGCCCAAACTCGAATAAAAAATATTTTACATTAAACATATTTATAATACCCTTTACTATATAAATTATAAATACTATATCTAATATTTTATATATGTATGAGATAATATTTATAGATACTTATATTAATTACTCATACATCAATATGTGTAAGTTATGTATTAATTTTATATAGTATATCAAATATATAAAAACTATATATGTTATATAATGAAATTAATATATTATTTTACATTAATTTATCATGTAAGTTATAGCAAATTATATATTATAATGATGTATATATATACAAAGTTTGTATATAATGATTAATAAACAATATATTATATAAACAAAAATAATAACTAATAAAATTATTAAGTGTCATTATATAAATAAAATTTGTTATAAGTTACAGTTATTATCTTTGTTATGTTTAGTTATTATCACCTGATAGTCAATAACAACACTTTGATATAATCTATTGACATAACTATAAATGAAAACACTAATAATTTTATAAATTATAATTTTGTAATGTTAATACAAAACAAAAAGTAAATATATTTATATTAAAAGTATATAATATATACATTATTATACAATTATACATAAAATTTTATTTCCTATATATTACTATATAAGTATAATAATTATAATCTATTAATATGTAAGATATCCAATAATCATATATTAATATTAACATAGAACTTATATCATTTAAAATATATATCTTGTATTTACATATCTCTTGATCTTAACACATAAGCATATTATGTATGTTATATATTTGAAAACAAAAACATCTATTATACTTAACACAAGTATAATTGATTGTTATATTATTGTATTAATCATAAAACTTTGCAAATTTATATATATATGATAGTAATTATATTCATTGTAATATGTTTTATATTTATATTATTAATTTTTTAGTTTACAACAAGTGAAGTTGGTAGAGATTATAAAGATTGTGTTAAAGGCAAGTGCAACAAGGGTTTGAAACTCACTATTTATTAAATTTTGTCACATTATATATAATATTTTAATATTAATATAATCAAATTTGAGTTTAAAATATTTTAAAGGTAATACCTAAACTCGAATCAAGTATTAAAAGTCCTCTTCTAACTCGTCCCATAACTTATTATAAAGTGCTTGAACTTTATATTATGAGATCAAATACCCAAATAACAGCTACTCATTTACATCATTAAATTAATCTAACTCAAAAATAAAACTTGAAATAACAATTAACATTACAAATTTTTTAAAAAATAAACACGATAATGGAGGTGCTAACAACTAAGTTGCTCGCCCATGTCTACTTCAGATTGAGTTTGGACACTGAATTTTAGGTTTAAGCTGAAATTGACTAGCTGATTGAATTATTACATTAATACATAACATATTTTTTTATTTTATTTTAAAATATATTTAAAATAAAATATTGATATAAAAATGTTATTTTATTATTTTATTAATAAAATATCAAGTAATTGAACAAATAAGGTTGAGCTTGAGTTTGACTTTTAAAAAGGAAGTCCACTTGACTCATGAATATCTTTACTCATTAATAAAAATCAATTTTACAATATAAACTTAATATTAATAATAATCTATTGACACAAACATTAAGAATAAATCATAAAAAAATATTAATAATTAAATTTGTTTTCTTCATACTACATTAACCCTCTAGTCTAATTTATCAACCATGATAAGTATGATAAGCTTACATATAAGCTTACAAAGTAAATCTAAAGTATTCCTAAAAAGTAGCTCACAATAGCAAATTCTACAATAAGGTTAACCTTATTGTAAGGCTATAAACAATAGCCATTAGATTTAGAGACTTTTATTTCGACCATTGATCAATAAAAAAATTTGCAACCTGTTTACCTATCAAACAAATTAAAAAAATACTTAAATAATCATTCATAAAAAATAAAAATATTAATTATAGGGAAAGAATTAACAAAGAGAATAATCAGAAACTGCATTCTATTTTAAATGCATTGATACATGTTCATCATATATTGATACAATTTTTTTAAAACTAAATGTATCAATACATGGGCCAATGTATTGATACATTTCATCGATTTCAAAAAATAAAAAGATAAAAACATATTTTCACACCATAACTTATAAATATATCACATTTTCTTAGGGTTGGCAACCTTCAACCACATTTTCAAGGTAAAACCTTAACTCTTAAGCTCTTTCAACCCATTTTTGCTTAAAATCACCATTTTTGAAAGATTTAAGCTTGGGTTTGGGTCTTAAATGAAAAATAAGATTTTTCTTACTTTTGAATCTTTAAATCTTGATTTTTTTTTATTTTGAAAATATTGTTTATTGTTATAGAATGATTGATGTCTATGAACTAGAGGATTTTGGTAGATTTTTCACTTGCAATAGCTCACTTAAGGTAAGAACGTTGATTTTATGAGTTTGTACAACAGGGTTTTTTGATGAGTACTAGATTTAGTCTTGAAAATTAGTTTAGGCAAATCTAAATAGTTTGAAATAGCATAAAACGATTATTATGTGATTCCTAGACTAAGTATTAACTAAAATATTTATTTGGATATATTAGGAACCATTGAAAATCCAAAAATTTCATTGGAGTAGACTTTCATGTACTTTGTAGAAATCAACTTTTGAGGTGAGTGGGTACACTACTTTTGAAACTATTTTAGTATGTAAAATTGAAAGTATGATTTCAATGATTAAGGGTTTATTGATGAGCATGATTTCCCATAAATCTTTATTCTACAAAATATATTTATAAATGTGAAATGTTTTGCAAATTGGTTTTCAAAACTATATGTATATGTAAATATGCTATTACGTATTAGTTTCAACAAGGAGGGACAAGTCTTTTTTATGATTACAATCCACTTTATTACTTCTGCCTTCGGGCTAATTTGGTATAAAAATTATATATACGTGATTGAGAATGATTGTGGATGGTTAAAATGTTCTTGAATGTAAGTATTATGTTTGTGGATTGAGAAGGTCTCCATTTTTTCTTGATTCATGTGTTTGACATGATTTGTTATTGATGCTTGATTTTGATCTGATATCCTATGAAATTTAGATTGTGCTGTGATTGGTTCTAGCCCCGATGTGGGGTAAGAATACCACAAGGTTAAGCTTGGCCAATGTGACACTTTTTCCTGTTTTGTATGTTACCTCTAGTCCCGATATAGGGGTAAGAATATCATAAAGTTAAGTTAGGCATCATATCAAATTTTCTCTCTTTATAAGTCCTAGTGTAAGGATAAGAATACCACAGGGTTAAGTTGGACATCATATCACTTTTTCCCTCTTTATGAATCTTGGTGTAAAGGCAAGCATATCGAGATGAATCGGGCGAAAATACTTATTCTCCCTTTTAATTTTCTCATGGAATGCATTGATGTGATTTTATTAAATGAATGGTCCATTCTCGACTGAATGTTTGATGTTGGACTTGAAAGTTCATGAGTTACTTATCGTTTCTCTTTACAAACATTATGTAAGTTGAGCTTTGATATGAGTACCATATTTTATGCATCATGAGTTTCGAGTGCCTTTATGGTTACATAATTGTCATAATTCTTTTTGCAACTATGGTTTATTGGAAAAACTCCTATCCCTTAGCTTATCCCCTTCCTCGAATCCACTCATGGAGTCTTTATGACGCACATTATTTTCCTTTATTTTGTTTTAGATCAATAAATTGTTTGGCTAAAGGACTTGTGGTATAATAGTCTAGCTCATTCGTGGTAGGTGTGGTAGAGCCTTCTTTCCAGCCTTCTAGTGTCGTATGCTCTGTAGTGTGTCTAGTCTTGATTTAAACTATCTTGATGATAATGAACTTTGTTATGTAAATAACGTTGACAACTTGTTTACACTTCCGTAGATTGTGTTAAGTCCTGAATATGGGTGCATGTTAATGTTGAGATTATGGTGGATGGACCATAGCAATATAGGTATGGGATGCATGCCGAACCACAAGTGTTTAACATTATGAATATTTATGTGATATATGATAAAAACCACACTTTACATTGAGAAGATATGTAAAAAGGTGACCTTGATGAATTATTGTATATGTGGGCTGTGTATGAATTTTATGTTTATGAATGCCATGGATGACTAGCCCATGCATTTATGGATTTAGACTTGCTTAGGCCTAATGTACCATACCCATGTAAGTCCATGCACTGGTCATAATCCCTTTAATAATAGGATGTGACAAAGTTGGTATTACAGCTTTAGGTTTTATAAGTCCTAAGATTTTCTTAGTCATGTCGCGGAGTGTTGAGGTTGTATGTAAAGATCTTGTTTTTGCTTTGTGTACCCGAGCACAAATAAAAAATGAAAGACTCGCATATGATTCCTTGTTTGTCTTCTTAGCCTAGTTCCAAATTGTTGATGTTACCCATGTATCTATTTAGTTTTGTCCTAAGACACTTGAAA